TGTACACACCCGTGTACATAAAGAAGATAATGAGGAAAGCGTAGGCTCAAGTGATGACGTACCACCAACCACTCAGGGAGATGTGGCATCGTCATTCCATATCACTTTGTGTGATGAGACCCCGATTGAGGGGGAAGATGCGAAGGATGCACCCCATGAGTTAGAAGAAGGGGTACTGATGGACAATTTAAATAATAAGTCCTCGCAAGTGCACGAGTCAGTGTAGTGATAGTGTGCAAAGGAAAGGGTCGAACCCACAGGAAATTGTACGATGCAATTTAATTATAATTACTTAAATGTAAGAAATAATTGACTTGATAACGTAATGTGCTAGACAAATGCCAAAGATAACGATCAATAAAACTCAGGTAGTTAAGCAATAAAATTAAACCAAAAAGCAGAATAACAAATAAATTAAACTATACGACAATCAACATGGATTAAACTAAATGAAAACACAAGCAAGAATAAAGACAGGAAAAATAATAAATTAACCACGAAACGAAACAACTAGAGAATAAAGACTAGATTAATTCAAGCTAATTTGATCAAATTCAACTTAAATAATGTCAATACCAATCGTAAGACTAAACATAATTAATTGGCAAAATAATTAATACGCACTGCTCATGGTAAAATATCATAGAAAAGAGATTTAGCAAACCATTACCATTCAACACACTAAAAACTTGCATAAAGAATATTAAAGATTTAAAATAGTAAAACAATAAAATAAGAACAAGTGTGGTGAACACAAATATAGTAAAATAAGAAGGAAAAAGAAAACTAGAGAGACCAGGGAATGAGCTGATGCCGAATTAAATTGCTACTGCCAAAATGAAGTTAACGCTGTCGTGCAAAATTGAATTGAAGATGAAGAAAGGAGCTACTGAGAACAGAGATCGCCGCCGAATGCCGACCCTGCCGTACCGACCGGAATTTCTGCCGCCAACGGAGACTCTGATCACTGCCACCGGAAGTTATCCGGTGTGTATCTGATGATATTGAACAGCGACATTGGCCTCCCTTTTATACACCCATCTTCAACCGTCTCTCCGCGATTCCGGTAGCTGCAGACGACTGGACACCGATGAAGCTTCTCTTGCCTGTTCAAACTTTAGATAATCATCCGGACGTTCTCCAGACCGAAGCTCCTCCATCCACGTCGTCCGGAGAATTTGGTTCGCGATCCTCTTCCAGCGCCCTCGCTGTTGGTCTCTTTCTTTCGTTAGTTCTTGCGATCAGCAGAGAGGGGGATGAAAATGGGCTCTTAGACTTGGTTTTAGATGATGGGCTAGCAATATTTTATTAACTAAACCTACAAATAATAATAATAATAATAATAATAATCTTATTAGATATCATATATAACTAATCTACCTTTATTAAACTTCTACTGAACATGTACTACTAAAATTAATAATATTATAATTAAATTAGAATCAATGAATTATTAAACTGACAGAATTCAAATAATAGACAAATTTAATAATTAAAAAAAACTTAAAATTGAATAACTATCAAAGCTACTAATAATAACAATAATAAATAAAAATAAATATAAAATTAATTAATTATTGCAAATTAACTATAAAAAGATTATTTAAAATAACAACAAAAATAATTTTTATCAGGTACGAGCCGCGGTGAATGAATTAAAAGAAGTTGATCTGGGAATTCCAATTAAGACCATCTACTAGGCAGCCCCAAGAATTACATATGAAATAACTTATTGCATTTAATCCTATCATTGCATCAATCTGTACCACTGTGCTGTTTCAACAAAACTAGGAATCATCATATTCTACTTTTCTGAAAAGAAATGTGTGAAAAGTTTAATTAATGTGATTAGTTTTCCTTTTCAAGTGTTCTATTAAATAATGAAAGTGTATGAAAGGTTGGCTAAGATCAATTGTTTGTGCTAGAATGAAATCTATTCTTTTTTAATGTTTTTTTATTCAACTAGGTGTCATTGACATCTTCAAGAAAATGAATATTGGCTCTCTTGAAATAGGAGATTATCTTGGTACTTCCAGGCATTTACAAGTATTATTCTTTATTTTTTGTTCAAATAAAATCAATGTTATAAAATGCATTATTTAAAATAGGGATAAGGGTCAAATAGGCTCTCCAATTATAAGCCAAAGTGTAATTAGTCCCATGAACTAACAAAAGCTCCAAAAATAAAAAATAAAAAACTGGCTAGGTGGCCTTCTTCTCTGTCCTGGACGAGGAAGCCAGGCCGAATTGAAGCATGTGCTCACACGCCCCCTCACGTGTGTGGTGTGTTCCAAGCAACACGTGGACCAATAGTTATGTGCTCACACGCCCCCTCACGTGTGCGGTGGGTTCCAAGCAACACGACCTTTGGTCTAACTCTGATACCAAATTGAAGCATGTGCTCCATCTCAACTAAAAACTTAAGCTAATAGTTGGATTGCACATTAATGGCTATGTGCTCACAGGCCGGCTTCTCCCTCCAACTAGACGAAGAAGCCGCGGTGGCATTTTTTTTAAAAAATTATTTGAATTTAAAAAATAAAAAAATATATATATATATATATATATATATATATATATATATATATATATATATATATATATATATATATATATATATATATATATATATATATATATATATATATATATATATATATATATATATATAGATGTGTATTCAAATGAGGACAAGTATATTATAGAGGACTATGAGGACAGATGTAGTGTGTGCCATTAGCCGGTATGTTGTGTGCATGGCCGAATGTAGTCGTGTGCCACAGTTTATATGTCGCGTACTAAATTTGTTAATTTATAGAGCCTGGGTTCGAAACCTGATGTTTACATTTATTCTTGTGTGCCATTATGTATTAAGTTGTGTGCCTGGTATTAATTTGTTGTGTGCCCATTATTTGTCCTCACAGTCCTCTATATATCGTTGTCCTCATTTGAACTCAACACTATATATATATATATACACACACACATATATATATATATATATATATATATATATATATATATATATATATATATATATATATATATTAATTCTTTTTTAAAATTAAAAAAAAAATCACCTGTAACTTAGATATAACCCGCTAATTAAGTTAATTGCATATGAGTGAAAAGATGAAGGGTCTAATTGAAGTTTTTGTTAGTTTAAGGGGCTAATTGCACTTTGGTCTATAGTTGAAGTATCTATTTGACCCTTATCCTTTTAAAATATCTCATTAAGATATTTTGAATGATACTTATATTATTACTAGTATTTTATATGTGTTATGCGCAAAAATATATGTCAAATATTAATACTCAATGTTAAAATATTAGTTATACTGAAATAATTTTTTTTTTTTTAAATAATAGTGTGTGTGTGTGGGTGGTTGTGCGGAGATGGATTCCGTGTGGTTGACGCATCTTAAACATTAAAATGGCACACACACAAAACACCTTAAGAATACAAACCACGTGCACCTAAAGCTTTAGGCCGGCGCACTTTAAGTACACAAACACTACTAGAAAATTTGCGAATTGCAACGAAAATTCGTGGTGGATATTAATCCGTTGCAATATAGCGACGGATATTGGGACTGAATAGCTTCCGTTGCAAATTTGCGACGGAAATTAATTCCGTCGCAAATCTTGACGCAAAGATAAAATAAACCCCGCGAAATATTGGTGGAAAGATATTCACGACAGAATTTGCGACGGAATTAAGGGTGTGTTTGGAAACCTGGAAAATGAGTTCTGGAAATCATTTTCCAAGTTTCCATTGTTTGGATGTGCTTGGAAAATCAAGTCAACGGAAATCATTTTCCCTTTGACTTTGAAAAATAAGCTTGTTTTGGAGGAAAATGACTTTCCCTTTTTTTGAGGGGAAGTCATTTTCCAACTTGTACACCAACATCACACCACCACCATCATCAACACCATACCACCACCACCTCACTACCACCATCACCACCACTACTGTCACCGCCGCCGCCACCACCATCACTACCACCGCCGCCACCACCACCACTACCACCGCCGCCGCCACCACCATACCACTGCAACCACCACCATTACACCACCACCACCGCCACCACCGTCGCTGCCACCACCACCACCATCGCACCACCACCACCACCGCCATCGCCACCACCACCACCGCCACAACCACCGTCGCCGCCACCACCACCACCATACCGCCGCCGCCGCCACCACCACCATCACACCGCCGACGCCGCCACCACCACGATCATACCACCGCCGCCGCCACCACCACCACTATACACCGCAACCACCGTCGCTGCCACCACCACCACCACCATACCACCACAACCACCGTCGTCGCCGCTGCCACCACCACCATACCACCACCGCCACCACACCATCACCACCACCACTGCTACCACCGTCATACCACCACCAGTTATTATTATTATTATTATTATTATTATTATTATTATTATTATTATATAACAAATAACACCACTACCACTACACCACCACCACCATAATATTTTTGATATATTATTAGTTTTTTATTATATTTAAAATTATTATTATTATACATGTTGTAATATTCTAAATAAAATAATTAAAATGTTTAATTATACAATTCTACTCATTTTCCAGAAAATGAACCAAACACACAAAAACAATTTTCCAGAATGCAACCAAACACTAGAAAGGAAAATGTTTTCCGAAAAATGGCCCATTTTTCAGAAGTCATTTTACTGCTTTCCAAACGGACCCTAAATTACGTCGTCCATTTCACGAAGAAAATGACGACAGATTTACTTTATTTCGACGCAAATTGCGACGAATTCTGTTGTGTCATGAAAGAAATCATTTGTTTTACGTTGTGTAAATATTGCGACGGAATTAACGACAGAATATATTCCGTCGTAATTTATTTTTTTAATTTTATTTCTCTCCTCTCCTAAAACGGTGTCGTATTAAGGAATTTATTTATTTATTTATTTTGAATAAGGAATTTATTTTTTAATTTTTAAAAAATCAAATTTCACCCCCTTGTCAAATTTCTTGGGAATTTATTTGCTAATTCCCTAAATAGAGTATAGAGATTGAGTCGCAGCACGCAGCCATCGCCGAATCGCTGATCCCTTTCCCCCAGCAGCCACCGCCGATTCCTTTTCCCCAGCCGCCACTGCAGCACTTCTGCCGTTTGCGATACAGACGCTAACCCGAGCGACCGCCGACCAGACCGCAAGCTAACGCCACCGCTGACCACGGCCGCAATCTAAACGCCACCGCCGACCACGAACAGCCCTGTGCCCCTGTCACAGCCGACGACCTTCTCCAGTGTTCATTTGAAATCGTCGACAGCAGGTCAGCCTTCGTTCAATTATGTTTATTTATGTTTTACATATATTACAGTATGAACTAATAGTAATTTATGAAATTGAAAACTATGGCTTGAGATAGTGGATTTATGAAATTGATTACTAGCTAGATTCAACAGTGTAGTTTTTTTTTTTTTTTTTTTTTTTTTTTTTTTTTTTTGTCACTCTTAAATTCACCATATAATTAAGCCATAAATTCATAATAATGGAGAAGGCACACCAACAGATCACATGAAAAAATCATTCTGGATTGAGATATATATATATATATATATATATATATATATATATATATATATATATATATATATATATATATATATATATATATATATATATATATATATATATATATATATATATATATATATATATATTGTACTGTGTACATCACCATCAACAGTTAGTCTAAGGTCACAGACACAGTACAAGAATTAGAGCAAGATGGACACAGTAAAACCTTGATATACAACTGGGCTCAAATTTGTGTATTAAGAAGATTTCCTGTTGTAACATCTATTTCATATTTGGTCCATTATGTTGGTGAAGGTGCAGCACATTTAATTCCAGTGCTATAAAGGAAGAATGAAGATGGATAATGATATGTATAAAGAGTTTGTTAAATAAAAAAATAAAATTACAGAAAAAAAAAGTTGAATAAACAAGGCCTTATTATATTCTTAATTCTTGTATGCTTTAGCTTGTCATTCGATTCCCATAGCTTTTGTCTGAATCTTTGTTTATTATGTTATAAAGGACGAATAAAGACGGCCAAATATATTACCGTGTATGTGCGCTTTAGATTTATTAAAGTGGTAGTTAAGTTATAATATAATAATAATAGTAGTTTAGTGACTACTTAGTGTGTTGAAGGAAACTAGCACTTACAAGAAAGAGCAGATTTTTTTGAATGCTATTGACTCTATTACAATGTAGTATCTGTTCATAACTATTTTCTCAACCCACTGAAGCACAAAGAGTCGATACCGCCTCCACTGAGGCTCGAACCCACAACCTCCCATATGAGAGTCCAACCTTGATGCCATTAGACCACAAGGTCTTGGCAGAAAGAGCAGATTTGATGTTTGCCAAATTAAATAGGACATAATGTTGCTTGACTGTCAAAATTACTAACTAAAAATTGAGAAATTAACTTGATTGACTCTGTGACTCAAAGGTGTTGACAAAGGGGCAGGGTCTGTCAATTTCATGAATAAGAACCCCTTGTTTTGTAATGCACCGATATATTCGGTGCGCTGATGGGCTAATCTTCCCGGGGTTGGTGCGAGTGTACAACTTTGGAAGTGGGGTCTAGATGCCCTGTGATTATTTTCATATAGTTGGACTATATGGATGCATGTGATACTTAAAGCTGATTGGAAATGGTTTTTTTTTTGGTGTTGAAAGATGAAGATAGAAGATACTTCTAGCCAATGGCAACTTGGGATTTGGGACTTCTTGGAATGTCTTGTGCTTTCCTTCGTTAGAAATTTAATGAGTTTATGGTGTTCTGATCTCATGTTATATTCTAAATGCGCTGTCTAATTTTTTTGTTGGTTTTATTTGAAGGACTTGTGTTTGTTTCATATTGCAAGTCATTGGGAGGGATTATGTTGTTCTGTGTTGTGTGGATGATGAGGAAATAATAAATTCAAATGGTGGAGTCAGGGTATATAAGCCCTTTCTCTTCTATAGGATGGCAATTGCAGTCATGAATCTGGTGTTTGGTAATATTTTCTGCTGGAAGATTCTTACTTTCTTCAGTGTCATTTAACCACAATCAGAAATATAAAGTTGTGCATTAAATGGTAGGTAACAGTACATTGCCTGATTGTATGTCTAGAATCCTGATATGGTTTTCCTGAGGTTTAAGTACACAAACTACGCACCTTAAGCACACAAACAAAGCACCTTAAGAACACAAATCACGCACCTAAATTTTTAAAATGGCACACCTTAAGTTTCAACAATTGACCTTAAGAAGGAAAACCTTAAGCATAAAAATTACGCAATTTAACAAGGAAAACAACGTACCTTAAGAAGGAAAACCACCACCTAAGCAATTGCACAACTGCACCTAAGAAGGTCAATTGCATGGCTCAAATAAATGAAAATTAAAATAAAAAAAACGCGCGTTTTGGACAGCAGAAACAAAGGGTGCACCTTAAGTGTTACATAGACGCACCTTAAGTGTTAGGATGACGTACTTAAGTGTTAGAATTGCGCACCTTAAGTAATAAAATATTGCACTTTAAATGGTAAAATCACGTACCTTAAGTGTTAAAATGGTGTACCTTAAGTGGAGAACTTATGCATCTTAAGTGCATAACTAATGCAACTTAAGTGTTAAAAGGACTCACCTTAAAGTTTTCGAGTGCATAATTGACGCACCTTGAGCACAGAAAATACGCACCTTAAGTTTCAACAATACGCAAAATGATCAAATTGCCACCTCATTTTTTTTAATCTATGTTCATCCTGAATGTTGATTTTGGCAAGATCAATGACATTACCACAGCATGTTTCCCCCTGGACACCCCCTATGCATTTAATCTCTATTATATATATATATATATATATATATATATATATATATATATATATATATATATATATATATATATATATATATATCACTGTTGTAAAAATCGCGCCTAGACACCGATTAATCGGTGCTCGATCGCGTCGAGGAATGTCTAAATCGACTTCCTCCGCGGTCGGTCCCCTAGGTGTTCTAGGCGGTTGAATCCTAATTTTTTTTTTTTAATTTTTTTTGGCAAATAACCCCCTAAAAAATAAAATAAAAAATTAATAAAATAAAAAATTGAGCACCTAGATGCCCCCGGGCACCGCGTAGTGTATTTTTCAACACACACACACACACACACACACACACACACATATATATATATATATATATATATATATATATATATATATATATATATATATATATATATAGTGGTAGAATTCATATTAATATTATTGAAGTAAGAATTTTAGAAATGATAAATTACTAAATGTAATTATGATAACATTTGAAGTTTTGCGTAAGTCGTAACTCAATATAAACTTAAGTGTTAATAACCAGATTGCAAGATGCGTAACTGAATTATTCAGTACACTGCGTGAACTAGTTCGAGTCGTAGTACAAACGGAAATTAATACGCAAACACATAAGCAAGAAGCAAGTAAACATGCACATGAACACATCGTGGTTGGTAACCTAGTTTGGAATAGACATTTCTACATTTGGGGGCACCACAAAATGGTTTGCCCATTGCTCATCTCTTCATTCATAACCAATTGAACGTGTTTACTAAATAATCAATTACGAGCGAACACTTCGAACTCTACAGCTGATCCTCAACATTTTAAACGCGTTGAAGTTTCTTGAAGAGGTGGTACAAGATTTTCCAATCTTAGAAATTGAGACTCCCACTCAACTGTAGCTCTCCCAAGTACACAATTGTGTTTAACGGTCCGAAATCATCAAGTATCAAATCCAACTTATATGAATTGTAAATTCGCTAAGTTACTCCGTTTAAGCTCCATGAATATGCCCTTGAACAAATTCTGAATATGCTGTGTAATATCTTGAAAATCATCAAATTGATTTGCATGTAGACGATGTGCATTTATAATTGATCTTTCGAATTTAGCTCTAACTGGTTAATTGTCTTGGACTTCATCCTGAACCGGTCTTCTTATCTAGTTTACTCTTGGTCTTAGTCTTCATCTTCAAATAAGAGAATGTTACTCTGAACTAAATCTATCTACTAGTATAGATTCAATGTAATATAGATACAATCCTCAAAAATAACTTTCTGAACTATATCTTGAACTACTAAATTATTCCATAAATCAAAACAAATTGGAGAAGTGAAAAATATTTTACTTTGTAAAAATATTTTCTCTATGGTCTATTTTATTAACAACATTTAATTAAAATATAAATAAAGTGAAACTTAACATTAAATAATGTTAAAAAAAAATATTGTATGCATGTGTAATAATAATGTCAAAAGATAATAAAAGTTAAAATAAAATATATTAATATTAATATCATTTAAAAAATCTTGATTAGAGTTTTAATAATATATCTTTTATATATTAAAAAATAAATCTAAGTTAAAAATTTTTAATTTAGACCATCAACTAAATTAACATATATAAAATATTAACATATATAAAATATGTTATTATTTAATGATTGTAATTTCAAATTTTAAAACAAAAATCTTTTTCCTAAGATCGGATAGAACTTTTTTCCCAAGTATTGATAGATATTTCATATTCAGCATTTCAGCTATTCAAGCACCGATCACTATAGTTCCATCAGTTTGTTAAACCCTCCCTCACCTTGGCGTAAATCTCAGTTTCATCTTCATCTCCCATGGCGACCGACAAGACAGTAATGGCGTTGATTAGGGCATCGAGACCGACCTTCCGAAATCCCCACGACAAGGTCGCCTTCGCCGTCCACGCTTCGTGTATTGCTTCTGGTTTTGTTCTTCTTGCCACCGGCCCCTCTGCTTTTTCCGACGATCCATTCTCCTCAGCCCTCGCTGGTAAACTCCCTCTAGAACAAATTTTACAAGTTATTATTTCGATTCTCGCGGTTATATTTATGAATTTTAGGGTTTGGTTTACGGTTATGAAAGTTTTGGGGGTTATTATTTACTTTGGTTAGATGAGGTGGGGATTGATCACTGGAATGATTTTGAGGACAACTACGGCTTTATCTATTCAACTCCTGAGGGAAATTCAAAGAAGGTTTTAATAAAGTGCATCGTCATGAATGGTAAACTCCTCGTTGATGCATTGTGGGAAGGCGCTAGTGCTCCTCGTCATCTTGAACTGAAGTAAGTTCCTTCCAAATTCCTTTCTGTTTTTACTGAGTGAAGTAAGCATAGGAATAAGGGAGTTCTTTAAAATATACTCTGTTTGTGATTGTCATTGCTGGTAATGTGCAGTGTTCATGATTATGTTGAGAATGGAGGGGCTAATTATGATTCCCAGTATAAGAATTTTGGTAAGCTTGTTGAAGAAATTAATAAAGAAATTTTGAGCAAGGGCTCGCCAGCAGTGAAATCATCCACTCAATCATCAAGGTACATGTTATTTGGTCTACTCACTTTGTTGACGAACTCATGTGCATTGAAACTGGCTGTTGTTCCTGTGCATAGTTTGCATTAGAGTTTTCCATTTTTATTTGGAATATGAGACAATTGTGGATTTGGAAATGTAAACTAGTGCAAAATTGAAAGTAATTAAACTTCTGTTGTAAAAAATATTTGTACATTTGATTGAATTGCATTTTAAATTATAAAAGAATAAAAATATAAAGATAGCCAGTTTCGAATGGGAGCCACCTATTCTGTTCCTCAAATTATAGGACCCTAAACTGGGACAAGAATGGTCCCGTTTCAAGGCCTGTTACAAACTGGAATGGTACTAGTTCGGTGTGATCTGGATGGTTGTTGTAGTCATCCTTATTGTGTTTAGCTTAGCTAAAGAGGTGGTTGATTTTAGTTGCCACTAATGAATTACTTTGCTATACCCATGTACAGTTCTGAAAACGGAGGAATCAGAGATACTGCTGATCGACGTGGCGCTGAATCTGATGACCCATATCAGCATTTGGGTTCTGTTCCTCCAGGGTAATGTCAAATTAGAAGTTGGATTGCACTACTTATTTATCTTCTTGTATATGCTATTGTATTATTTGGTTGTCACCCATGAGGTACTCATCGTAATTCGACGTGTGTTGAAATCTTTGACCCACAGGTTCTTTGCACTTAGGATCACATTAAACTAGCAATTAAATTGTAGACATGCTTTTTTTATGTTATTTGATGTGTTATTTATTTGTTGTTGCCTAAGTGGGTACTTATTATAATTCATATTTTGTACTGGGGTGTCTTTAGAACTGTGTTATTTTACAAGAATGATATTGAATATGCAATAATCTGGTTCTCCTTTCTTTTATATGCGATTGAAGTAACAACTGTTTTCTTGAATCATGTGAAATTGAATTCATGTGATTCACGTATTCAGATGCCCTGGGAATTGCTTGGAGTTAGAATGTCTGAGTACATAATAATGAAATCAGATGTATAACTAGCATTCTTGGATTATAGATGTAGACAACCTTTTATGTGTTACTCTTTGATAAACTGCACCTAGATGCTATGTTGGGCTATAACATGAAGTAGCTGAACATTGAGTAAATACGAAGTGCCAGTGTTTTTTTCAACTCTGCCTTGTTTGTAGCAGTAGTAAGCATGTCTTATGGAATATCAATAAAATATGCATCTGAATATGTAATTTTTGGTCCTGTATTTCTGGTTTATGTTCAATCCTTTTATTTTGTTAGTATTAGTTTCTCTTGATGATTCTCTTATAATATTATCATTATTATTATTATCTGTCTATATAGATATGTGGTTCCTCCCATTCCTGCTTTTGGTGGCAGTGACATATTCCCTGGACCAGGTGCCGGTGTTTACCCTACCAGGTTCCTTAGCTCTCCTTGCACCTCTTCTCCATTTTAGATGGCTCTTCTTTGATCGTACTCCTAAATGTGCTTATTTGTTTTTTGATACATGTCCTTTCAGAGATATTGGAGGCTATGGAGGCATGCTTGTAGGTTTGTGACTGTTCCTACCTGGTGTTTGATTTTCTGATTTTCAAATCTTGAATTAAATCCTTTTCTAAACTTGATGGCTACTCTAATTTCTTTTAGGACCCAGAGATCGTCGTTTTTTCCCTGGGATAAGTGGAGATCCTCGTCTCCCTGGGGGATTCCAGTAAGTTGCTTCTCTTCCACTGCATTCTCCTTTGCAGACTTAATTTTTTGTTTTAATTTTTGATACATCGAAGGGTAATGGAAAATGCACCTAAGACCTCTTATGTAAAGTCTCGAGCATGTGCCACCGACTACAAGGCTCTTAGTGCAATCACTATTTTATCTCCTCCCTCCCATCTATACGTAAATCTACTTTGAGTTGACTCTAAACTGCCCTATTATTGTTACAGGGGTATTCCACCACCAGGTGCTCGTTTTGATCCATTTGGTCCACCCGACGTTCCTGGTTTTGAGCCAGGTCGTTTTATCAGGTATATTTATGCATATTGATCATACTCAATTGTTTTGGTTAATTAGTGTTCCTATATAAGGGTACTATCGCGGAATCAGTCATATTTGGTGAAGGTTTTATAATAGCATTTCAAAATAACATTTTCTATATTGCAATGCAAAAGATGAAACTCTCCGGGAGTTATGAATATTGGTAGCTCATCTCATCTGCGACTAAGTGGATTTATAGATCCCCCGTAATTTTTCTTGGCAACATTTTGCAGGGACCCAACTAGACCCGGAAGCGGCAGGAACCATCCTGATCTGGAGCACTTTGGAGGTGGTTCAGATTTCATATAGACTGAATAGTTTGTTTCTATAGAGTGGTGATGGGAATCATAAGAAGGCAGGGTCAGTTGTGAATAGGGTTGCACTACATTTACTAGCAAATCGCCCATATTATCATGTAATAAATACAGTTTTAGTTACAATACTACCATATTGGCGGAGTTTTTAGATTCATTCCCCCTTTCTATTATTAACTTATGGATATCTCTCTCAATCTTTGTGATGTGTATATGCTTTAAATCCAGCAAGATTATCACTACAATCTTCTATGTAAAGAGTGACACATGATCATCACAGTGGCGACAATGGTCAAGGGGCATTAGAGACATCAATTATTCATTCTATTACCAAAATAAAGAAATGAGTAATAAAGAATAAGCAAAATTGAATAAAGAAGGCATTAATCGGAGGCACAATTTAAATAGTGTGTTGGAAAAAATAATAATTTCACAATGTACTTGCAGTATCAACAGCATTATTGAAATTTGAAAGTAACTGATAGCGTACACAAACAAGGAAAATAAGTGTACTTACCCTATGAATCTCCTAAGACCTTATTGACCATAATAAACAAATGTCCAATAGAATTGATTAATTCCTAGAGTTGATTAATCAGAATGTCTTCTAAATTAAAATTTCTAGTTTTACTGAACAATTTGACTCGAATATAGAAGATTGATGTCACCATATCTCTAAGGTTGTATGCACTCCTTTCAATTGTCTGCCGACCAAAACATACAAAGGGTATCTCTGTTGCAAATATATTCATCAAACATGAATTTAATAAGTTAGCAATTATTAATTCAAAGATAATGAAAATCATAATTGATAAAAGGATAAACAGTTGTATTGGGTTAAGAAACAATCAAGAACAAGGTTTCATCATATATTCAAGTTCTTAAGTGTTTAGCCTCTAAACATGGAGGCAAAAAAGAAAGAAATCAATTAAACGATAAATGAATTCAAGAACATAAAAAATCACTTTGATTTGTGAAAAATGTTGATTCTAAACTTTCTCGAGATGTAAAGTTGTCTCTCAAAATATTGTTGAAATCTCTAAAAGTGTCTTGAATCTCATTTCTTAAATCTTGAATTGGAAAGTCTCTCAAAGGGGTTGAAACGTCATTTAATATAATTTTGCAACCATCAAGATGGCTTTAACACAACCATGTCGAAATATATCAACTTTCTTATTCTAGGTGTGTTAAGGTGACACCACCCAGACGACATGGCAATAACACGGTTGTGTCCCCGAGTGTATCAAAATCTGTCAAGGTCTTTTCTCCTTGTTTTAGTCTAAATCTCTAAATTAAAACTTTGAACATGAAAATTGCAGAGAACCATCTTAAACTTACGCGGACACTTGAATCACCTTAAATGAACTTCACATGAAATAATATGGCCAAAATACTATCAAAATGTTGCAAGGTAGTGTCCCTCGGCATGTTAAAATCTGCCCAACATTTTGACATCAATATTTTCCAAATTTGTAAAACCTCTAAACACAAAAGCTGTAGAAGATTGTCTTTGTTTTCTATGGAAACTTGACTCATCCCAATGAAACTTCGTATGAAAGAGATGGGCCAAAATACTATCAGTTTGTCTCATAGTGCATATTTTATCATTTTTGCTAAGAAATTCCTAAAAATCAAATAGTTGTGAATTAAGCACCATATTCCATCAAACTTGCATCCGGTGCAGTTGCGCAGTAGTACATCCGGTGTAGTTGTGTAATGGTGCAATGATGTATATTTACCAGGTCAAAATTGTTAGGAATATAATCCTACAAAAAGGATTATTTCCACAAAAATAGCAAGCACAAAAAATGAAAGGTTAAGGGTAAGCTTGAGTCATGTGATACCCTCACTATCCTTAAAACCTTATTTGCTACATCCCAAAGATGATAGGAGCATAGTAGTCTAGGTTTCCTAGGATAAAACAAGCTTCTACTCTATGTTTGAGACTCAAACAAAAGAGTCCATCGAACTAGAACTTGGCTTTGAACACATGAAGGAGGAAGATGAACAGAGTTTCGAGAGAGAGCAAAATGTAGGCTATTTGTCTTGCAAAAATTCTCCTGCCCATCCAAGGCTTATATAGGAGTTGAATGATTAAATAATATTTAATCATGACATTAAAACTGATAATAAAATCAGTCATTGTAACATCTATAAAAACAGACAACCATTAACTTGAGAATTAATTCTCAAATTCAAAATTGGAGTTAAATTGAAATGGATTCCATAACATAAGAATTAATACCCAGAATGGTACGTCAAGAGTGGTTCAAAATGTGAGTAGTTCAAAAGGTAGCTACTCAGAATGGTACCTTCGAAAGGTTACGATACATGACATTCTGGTCTGATAGCCGAATGGTCCCCAAGTCCGACTAGTTACTGCTCGGACAGTGGCAAAGGCGGATGGTGACAAAGGAGTTGGAAAACATTTTCGAAAAGTTTGCATATAGGTGTCGGTGTACACGAGTCAAGTCTTTTTTTTCTGGCTCATTCTGGATTTGATTTGCACCAACCTGCGTGCGAGAGAGAGCCTCTATGTTATACAATTCAACATCCTTCTAAAAGGGTCTTGTATATGTAGTGCAAATCCCCTTCATTTTCCAACTCAAATGGGTCTAATTTGAAAATCAATTTCGCATTCACCAATTATTTGTTTTGAGCGTAAAATATATCGATCTCTTCATCTCACTATGAAGAATCTAAATCCACTTTGACCCGGCGCAAATTAAAAATGGACCCACATATATTTGTACCACAAATTTGCAACTTACAAAGTCATTTTTGCTATTTTTTCCAATAATCGCCAACATGAATGAAAAAATTGATTTTCGGGGTTGTTTTAAAACGGAATGACTATGTTTAATGGTCGATCCTTGCATAGGATAAGCAGGTGTTACCCTTTGAACCTTCCCTTGTCAAGATATATTTACTCTACTGCTGTTCGGCAGAACGCGATGTCTTTGAACCGATTGACGTTTGTGAAAATGACGATATATCCCATCAGGAACCTCCCAACAATGTTATGCTCTCGACTCTGCCCATTTTTGTCATGGGTCACCGTTCCTGATTCTGCAAGAGTTTCTAAAGAATTGAGCCCTGTCAATTCTCCTTTGAAGACCCCACTTTTATCTCACATAAGTGATCCTTTTACAAGTATCCCGCATACTAACACATGTTAACCGGCAATTAGAATTATTAAAGCTTTGACGTGCTAACCTCGTGCGGGAGTCACTTGTCTAACAAGGAATGGTAGGGAGTCCGAGACCCCAGAGTGACACGCTTTGGTCCATAATTTAGTTGTCGCATTGAACTTAAGTGCCAACTAGGTTGGGTATCCACTATAAAACTTTATCCCACGGGCTTTAGACCCATTCCTCGTGTCAACTCTCTATTTAACCGTTTGGTTAACGAATCTGCTACATTGTCTTTGACTTCACATAGTTAACCAAGAAAAGTAGAAAACACCAGTTGTGAGAAGTTGTTTAATGGTATTATGTGTACGACATATATGTCTAGATTAGTAGATTTACCATTATACATATTACTCCGTACTCTACCAATCGTGGCTTGACTATTGCAATGCACACATATTGAAGGTACATGTCTTTCCCAACTAGGAATATCCTCAAGAATATGGCGTAGCCATTCAGCCTCTTCGCAACATTTGTCTAATGATATCAGCTCAGATTTCATCGTGGATCTAGCTATCACGATTTGTTTAGAGGATTTCCATGCAACGGCTGCATCAGCTAATGTGAACACGTAGCCACTCGTGTACTTATAATCCTTAATACCCGATATCCAGTTAGCGTCGTTATACCATTCAAGTACAACATGATACTTGTATAGTGTAGTCCAAGGTCACGAGTACCCGTTAGGTATCTCATAACCCCCATAATTGCCTTCTAGTGCATATCATGCGTGCAAAAAAAAAAAAAAAAAAAAAAGTAAAAAATTACTATTTGGATGGCTCGAAGGTGGATCATTAACAGAAAGTATATTCTTAATATAATAAAGGTTCATTTTTAATATATTGAATGTTCATTTTTTTTCTTTAAAAAAAAATCATTATTTGTGTACTGAAAGTTCATTATTTGATATACTACCAAATAACGAACTTCAATACACAAATAACGAACTTTCATTTCAAATACATTGAAAGTTCATTTTTAAAAATGAACATTTATTCATTGTCTACATTGCATTGTGGATCAAGGTCTACAATACAAATTAGTCATAGTTTTTCTTCATTCTTAGCCATACATGTGCACCCCATTACTTGCCCCATATCGCCCTTCGATCTCTCTGATGGATATATTGGACCCGGAGCAAGCTGAACTGAAGAGACAGACCCGAACCACCACGACCCGGGATGCACGGCCCAGGCAGCTCAATACACCCGAGCTCGTCACCATGGACCTCGAGTCGGTCCATGGTGGACTCGGCTAGGCCGAGCTCAGTTCACGCCCAGCTCGGCCATGCCGAGTCGCCCCGCTTTGGACCCGGTCCCGGAGGGGACGCGGTCAAAGCGGGCCGATCTAACCACCCCCGGTTTCAGGGGTGCGGTTGGGGGTTTTGGCTGATATAAAAGCCTCCATCTTGCCCTAAACAAGGACAAAACATATTCCTAAACTACTATTTTATAGCATTATTGTCCTAATCAAGTCTTGTAATAGCTTATTAGCGATATTCAATACAATCTACGGTCCCTGCGACCTTACGATATCCTTGCGTTACATTATTTATTTCATATATATATTCTTATCCAGATTCACTGATTCGGGTCTACTCCGGGTTAATTAATTCCATCATTGGTGCTCTTGTTGAGAGCTGTTGTACCAGCTCAAGCGTATTCTATATCCAGTGGTCTACCGCGACCAGCTACCATGACGAGATCAAGATCCAACTCTCGCCGCACCAACGGTTCCTGCGGCACCCAGCTCGTCGCAAACAGGAATGGCCCCAACGGGGCCCCCAGCATCCAACTGGCCGCCTCCAACAGGTCGGGAGGAGACCTGAGGGCCCAGCTCACCAACCACCGCAGCGGTGGTGCACCACCCCCCGCTGCTCCCGCTCTAACTCGCGCCCTCATCTAGGAGGGGGTGGCGGTCTTCGAACAAGCCTCCACGGCACTGGCACGTGTCGCGACGGGCCTCCGGGCTGAGGAAGAAGCCCACCTAGGCGCCACCCGAGGGGGCCTGCCGCTGAGCACCGTACCACCTCCACCTCCACCTCTCTGCAGGGGGCGCAGCGGGCCGAGCACCATACCACCTCCGACACATGCCACACAGGGGGAGGTCAACTCCCCCCGACCAACGGACAAGCGGGGAGGGGGGGGGGGGGGGGGGTCTCCCGCTGAGACCGTCGGCACGACGACGAAGGAAGGGCACCAGCCCAAACCAGGCCCGCCCTGGAGAGGTTGGCGATCGCGTGTCGACTTGGGACAGGCTGGGTCCGAGGCCGACCGCCAACGAGCCACCCGCGGCAGAATCGTGATCCCACAGGCTGCCACGACAAGCATCGGGCACCCGGAGGTCGCCAAGCCACAGACCCCGAGCCCGGCTGCGACTGGAGGCAGGCTCGCGTAGGTCCCCAGATCGTGAGACCTGAGGTCCACCGCGACGCGGGCAGCCTACCCGAGTAGAGCGAACAGGTGAGTCAAATGGCCGAGTCCCGAGCTCCAATCGGGACGAGGTTGAGCAGTTACGGAGGAGGATGGACGAGCTCCAGAAGAAGATCGATGAGAGGAACGGGTCCTCGGAGCCCCAAGACATACTGTCCACCCCGTTCGTGAGTGCTATCATTGAGGAACCCTTGCCCAAGGATTTCCGTTTCCCCACCATCAAGGCATACTTGGGGACCATGGACCCGCGATCACCAGGGACAGGGCCGCCATGATGATCACCGAGGCTACCGACGTCATCATATGCAGGGGATTCTTTGCTACTCTAGACGGACAGGCGCATGACTGCTTCGGGTCCCTCCCGGGGGGATCCATCTCCACCTTCGCGGACTTCACTAAACAATTCCTGTCCCACTTCGCCACCAGCATCCCAAGGAGGAAGCAGATCGCCGACCTGTGCGACCTGAAACAGAAAAGCTTGGAATCGCTAGCCGAGTATCTCAGTAAATGGAAGAAAGAGGCCATGGGGGTCGCCAATTTCGATGGTAAGTCGGCCATACCGATTTTCAGGAACAATGTGAGGTCGGGTGCCTTCCACCAGGATCTCATCCGGTACCCCCCGAAGAACTATGCAGACCTGATGGACATGGCGGTCAGGTATGCCGATGCCGAGAAGAGGAAAAGGGAGCAGGAGGAAGGGAGAGGTCGGAAGGAAAAGGCCCCCCAGGAGGAGCGCGGCAGGGCACCTTGACAGCACCGCCGCGAATACGCCGAGGGGCCCAGGTTGAACCCCACGCGGTTCCTCACCCCGCTGACGCACCCCGTGAGCGTCATCCTAGCTCACGCGGAGGACCAGGGGTTCGTCGAGTTCCCAAAAGAGGAATGCATGAAGATCTCGGTGAAGGGCGACCCCAAGAAGTACTACCGGTTCCATCGCCAAAAGGGTCACGACACGAATGAGTGCATCCTCCTAAAGAAGCAGATTGAGGAGCTCATCCAGATGGGTTACATGGGCCAATTCATCAAATGGCCTAGGCAACCCCAAGGCCAGAACCGGGACAACAAGTGGAAAAAAAGATGGTGGTGGTTCCACGCCATCCAACTCGGCACCCCGCAAAAGAGAGCACGGCCAAAGCTCTGAAGAGGACGACAAGACGACGGAAGACTCCCAGCCCCTAAAGAAGCGGTCCATCTATGTCATTTTCGGAGGACCTGAGGGTGGAGACACCCAGGCTGATCGGAAGAAGTGGGCGAGGAGTCTGTACGTCGGGGAGGTGACACAAGCCCCACGGGAGAAGAAGCTAAGGAGGGAACCCATCACTTTCACCGATGGCGACCTGCCGGACGACCCCCTCCCCCACCGGGATGCCTTGGTGATCAAGCTGGACATCAACAATGTAGTGGTGCACGAGTGCTCGTAGACACGGACAGCTCGGTAATGTCATGTACTACGACACGTTCACCCAGCTCGGCCTCTCAAGAGACCAGCTGGAGCAGGTCAGGACCCCCCTATCCGGGTTCACGGGGGACTCGATCGAGACGGAGGGATCAATTAGCTTGGAAGTGGAGATAGGCACCTCGCCTCACCTCAATAAGTGGAAAATCGAGTTCGTGGTCGTAAAAATCAGTTACGCCCACAACATGATACTCGGCCGACCTGCCCTGGAGGACCTCAGGTGCGTGATTTCCTAGGAGCACATGTGTCTCAAGTTTCCAACATCAATCGGGGTCAGGACCACCCTGGGGGACCAGAGAGTGAGTCGTAGCTGCTACCTACGAGCATGCCGCCAGATGGGCAAGACAGGCCTCCGAGTCCACACCATAGCTGAGAAGGCATTACGAGAGGAGGCGGGTCGGCCCCGGGCCGAGCCCATAGTTGAGTCGGAGGAGGTCGTCTTGGATCTCAACTGCCCCGATCGGGTTGTGAAGGTAGGGGTCGGCCTCCTGGATGAGCTCCGGGCTCGCATCATCGAGACGATCCGAAGTTACAAGGAGATCTTCGCATGGGGCCCCCAAGACATGCCGGGCCTCAGCCGCGAGGTGATCAAACACAAGCTGGCCGTGGACCCCGCGGTCAAGCCAGTCCAACAACGCAAGAGGTACCTCTCCACCGACAGAAGAGAGTTCGTGAAGAAAGAGGTCGGCACCCTCTTGGAGATAGGTCATATCAGGGAGGTCCTATACCCCACCTCGTTAGTAAATGTGGTCCTCGCCCCAAAGCCGCCCACCTGGAGGATGTGCGTGGACTACACCGACCTCAACAAGGCCTGTCCTATGGACCCCTTCCCGCTCTCCAACATCGACCAGCAGGTGGATGAGACAGCAGGTTGTGCTCTCATGAGCTTCCTAGACGCGTTCAGAGGGTACCACCAGATCTTCATGGAGGAGGCCGACGAGGAGAAGACAACTTTCACCACCCCGGAAAGGGTCTACTGTTACAAGGTCATGGCCTTCGGGCTGAAGAATTCAGGTTCCACCTACACTTGAATGGTGGGCAAGGTGTTCAAACAAGTCCTCGGCCGCAACCTGCAGGCTTATGTCGACGACATGATTGTGAAGAGCACCGAAGCCAACCTGCATACGGACGACCTAGCTGAGGTATTTTCAATTATGCAGCGTTGCAATTTGCAACTGAACCCCAATATGTGCACTTTTGGGGTCCACCGGGGGAAGTTCTTGGGGTACATGGTTTCCAAGAAGGGCATAGAGCCCAACCCCGACAAAGTTAAAGATATCCTGGACATGGAGCCCCCAAGGTGTCTTCGGGAAGTCCAGCGCCTTAATGGGCGACTAGCAGCCCTCGGTCGTTTCCTATCGAGGTCGCCCGAAAGATCTCTACCGTTTTTTGGAGTACTCAAGAAGACCAAGGGGTTCGAGTGGTCCTAGGAGTGCCAAAGGGCTTTCGAGGACCTAAAAACGTATCTGATGTCGCTCCCCCCTGGCCAAGCCCGTTAATGGAGAGGTCTTATTTTTGTACCTCGATATCTCCCAGGCCGCGGTCAGCTCCGTGCTGGTCTGGGACGATGACGGGGTCCAACGACCCGTGTACTACACGAGCCGAGCTTTACGGGGGGCGGAAATCAGATACACGCCCGTCGAGAAGGCCCTCTTCGCGGTAGACATCACCACAAAGAAGGTCGGCTACTACTTTCAGGCCCACCCCGTCCACGTCCTCACCAACCAGTCCCTAGATGCGGTGCTGAGGACCTCGGGGTCGACCAGCAGGTTGGTCAAGTGGGCCATGCGGCTGAGCCAGTACGACATCCAATTTCGAACCCGTCCAGTCATCAAGAGGCAGACACTAGCTGACTTCATAGTCGAGTGCACCGCCCGGGAGGCCACCGAGCAGGTCCGAGACGAAGACGAGGAGTGGTGGACCCTTTCCATAGACGGAGCTTCGGGACCAAAATGCTGCGGGGGAGGGGTCGTCCTCATCACACCCGAGGGGTTCAGAGCCTACTATGCCCTCCGTTTCGCCTTCAAGCTGTCCAACAACGAAGTCGAGTACGAAGCGCTCCTCGGAGGGCTCCGGCTAGAGCTAAACATGACGGTCGAGAAACTCAGGATCCGGTGTGACTCTAGGCTAGTGGTGGGCCAGGTCACGGGAGAGTTCGAGGCAAGTGACAAGAGAATGAGGAGGTACCAGGATGTAGTGCTCCAGCTCTTGGGCCAACTAATAAACTATGAAGTCCTACAGGTACCTCGGGATCAAAACACGGATGCCGACATGTTGTCCAAGCTCAGCCAAGGGGCCCCGGAGCACATCTCTAAAATTTCTCGAGTTGAAGATTTTGAAAGGTCAAGTCTGGAGTCCTACCCAGTCCTACCTATACAAGGCCGACCTCCCTGTTGGTTGGATTATCTTAAGGAGTACAAGCAAAAAGGTACGCTACCTCCTGATGAGGTCGACGCCAAGCTAGTGAAGTGGCGTGCCCCCATATATGTCATCATGGGGGACACGCTCTATAAGAGGTCGTACAACGGTGCCCTGCTCCGCTGCTTGTACCCGGACGAAGCCAGGTCGGTCATGGAAGAAATCCACAAAAGGACCTGCTCCGCCCACCAAGGCGCCTTCACGATGGCCTGCCGAGCCATCTTGCAGGGGTACTTTTGGCCGAGAATGGCCAAAGAGTGCGCCAACTACGCCAGAAGCTACGAGACATGCCAGCACTTTCAGGTCGGCCCCGCCCGACCCGCCACGAACTACACCCCGATAAGCTCGGTCATCCGCTTCTCCAGGTGGGGAGTGGATATAGTCGGAGCTCTACCTATGGGGTCGGGCAAAAGAAAGTACCTCATAGTGGCTGTCGATTACTTTACCAAATGGGTAGAGGCGAAGCCGCTGGCAAGCATCACAAGTGCTCGTTGCAAACAGTTTGTCTACCGAGACATTTTGTGATGTTTTGGGGTCCCGATGCAACTCATCATCGACAACGGACGCTAATTCGAAGGGCAGGAGTTCGAAAGATTCTGCGCCGAGTGGCGCATCAACCATAGCCAAGTGGCCTTATGCTATCCACAAGCCAATGGGCAGGTGGAGAACGCCAACCACACCATAGTGAACGGTCTAAAGAAGAAACTTGAATCCGCAGGTGGAGCATGGGTGGAAGAGCTCGACGCCATCCTATGGGCCTATCGCACCACCCCCAGGAGGGCCACGGGGAAACACCGATTTCTTTAGCCTACGGTTTTGAAGCCCGGGCCCTTGCAGAGATGGTCATACCCTCCCGCCAAGAAGAAGAATATGACCCCGACACCAACGAGGAGCACCATAGGCCCGACCTCCACTTGGTGGATGACAGAAGAGAGGCAGCCTCCATCCGAGCTGAAAATTACCAAAGGCAAACTAAGTCCTACCACGACAGACGAGTACAACCCCGTTACTTCCAAGCAGAAGATTATGTACTCAGGAGGAGAGAGGCAAGCCAACCCCAAGCCGGAGGGAAGTTCGCTGCGAACTGGGAGGGACCCTATATTGTGGCAGCAGTGGTCCGTCCCGGCAACTACAAACTCAAGAACCCCAAAAGAAAGGTGATACCCAGAGTTTGGAACTCGGAGCGTTTGTTGAGGTACTAACAGTGATCCACCATGGACCGACTCGGCCGTTAGGACCATTTCCTCTCCCTTTTTCAAATAATGTCACAAGAGGCGGCAGGTCCCCTCCGTTGCTATAAGCAGAATAAAGTTTTGTATTACGTCACATATTTTCTCACTCACTCCTCAAGAAGGGAGAAAGTTTTTTACCCGGGCGGTTAACATACCCTAAGGGGGCACGAGGCCCGACCTCGCGTACCAACCCCGACGGAGGAGCCCCATGGTCTAGTCTCACAAAGACTATACTGTCGCGGTTAACATACCCTAAGGGGGCACGAGGTCCGACCTCGCGTACCAACCCCGACGAAAGAGCCCCCGGCCTAGTTTCCAAAGGACTCGGTTAGAACGGCTATTAAATAAAAAAAATAAAAAAAAAATAAAAAAAAGCGAAAAGTATGTGCAACTCGGACAACTAGGGAGAAGGAGAGGAAAAAGAAACGACTAACCGGAATCGGGATGAAACTTGGAGACTCGGAAGAAAGCTTGTGACCCTAGGAGGAGCTTGAGAGATTCTTGATGTGGTGGTATGATGGAGTGGCCGAAAATGGAGAGAGTGAGGGGGTTTAAATAGGAGGTAGATGGTGGAAAAGAGGGGGAAGGGGAAAAATTGACCAAAAATTCAAAATTTGAAAAGGTGTATGGGGAAAAGGAAAAGGTGATGGGGATGGGAAGTAGATTTGATGGATATGATGGGTGAGATTCTCAAGATTTTATAAGGAAGGAGTTGCATGTTAATAGGGATTCTACCATATCTGGGGAAGATTTTTCGGAAGGGAAATTTTATCCGCGATAAAGATTTTATTTGGACGAGGTCGGCTAATTATCCATTCGGGGTGACCGCGTAGGAGTCGGCTCGCAATGTGTCTACTCTCCATCATTGTTGACTCATCACAACGAAGAGAGTGGGGGACTCGTGATGGATATATTGGACCCGGAGCAAGCTGACCCGAAGAGACTGAAGCGAACCACCGCAACTCGGGATGCTCGGCCCAACCCCTTAGGCCGTGACCGGGTCGGCCCAGGCAGCTCGGCCGTGAGCCGAGCCCGGTCACGAACGGTCTCGGTACACCCGAGCTCGTCACCATGGACCTCGAGTCGGTCCATGGTGGACTCGGCTAGGCCGAGCTCGGTACACGCCCAGCTCGGCCATGCCGAGTCGCCCCGCTTTGGACCCGGTCTGGGAGGGGACGCGGTCAAAGCGGGCCGATCTAACCACCCCGGTTTCAGGGGTGCAGTTGGGGGTTTTGGCTGATATAAAAGCCTCCATCTTGTCCTAAACACGGACACAACATATTTCTAAACTACTATTTTATAGCATTATTGTCCTAATCAAGTTTTGTAATAGCTTATTAGCGATATTCAATACAATGTACGGTCCCTGCGACCTTACGATATCCTTGCGTTACATTATTTATTTCATATATATATTCTTATCTGGATTCATTGATTCGGGTCTACCCCGAGTCAATTAATTCCATCACTCTCGAATATGGATAACTTGTTGTGCCTTTTTACACAAGAATTGAATAGTTTACTCGATTGGTGGCGTGACCGGCCCTAGGTAAGGACAAGCTGGGCACATACTCGGAGGGAGCCCACCCCACCCCTTTTATATATATAGTAGACATATATGTATAAGTAGTTGGTATACATATATTTTATTTTATTGAAAGATGAAACAACTTAGTTGGTTTAATACTTGGTTATTATACTAAAGGTCACGGGGGTGAGCCCTTTTGACTACAATTTTAATAATCCAATACACAAGATTTATTTATAATTTTAATTGTATAATTTTGAAATCTATTTATAGTTAATGTTAGAAAATAATTTGTGTGGCTCAAAATCCATGAAGAGTTAATCTTCCGCTGCTGTCCATGTCGCATGCACAAGCCACCACTTCGCACGACTTGGCACGTCTTCATTATGCTTACCGCATTTGTCTCTATTCTTAAGCTATAAATAGCCTTTGCTTTCATTTGTAATAGCACATCAATTTTGAATTCATTCTTCCTTCTTTTGTCTTTTTCTCTCACGTAGACATATATATATATATATATATATATATATATATATATATATATATATATATATATATATATATATATATATATATATATATATATATATCTTTTAATTCTCTTTATAGAGATTAATATATATATTTATATTTTCCCATCCTTATTAATTTATTTTGTCATTTATATATTTTCCCCATTATTTAACTTCTATAATTCTCAATTTTCGATTCTTCGCTTCCGCATTATTCCGCTATATTCCTAACAAGTGGTATCAGAGCGGTTTAATTGAGAGTTATTTTCAAAGATGTCGACTGTTACCAAGTTTGATATCGAGAAGTTCGACGGGAAAATTAGCTCTATCTGGAAGGTTAAAATGGAAGCCGTTCTAACCCAGAACGGTTTGAAGAAAGCGCTAGCTGGGAAGAAGAAGAAACCGGCTACAATGACAAATGAAGATTGGGAAGATTTGGATGACAAGGCACGCTCAACCATCCTTTTGTGCCTGTCTAAAGAGGTTCTACGTGAGGTAGTAAGTGAGACGACTGCGTCAGATTTATGGTCCAAGCTGGATACGCTTTACATGGCAAAAACTCTGGCGAACACGCTGCGCCTGAAGGAGCGTCTGTACACAATCCATATGACGGAAGGTACTTCTATTAAATCTCACTTGGATGAATTCAATTCTATTTTATTGGACTTGGAAAATATTGATGTCATAATTGAAGATGAGGATCGCGCTGTTTTATTGCTTGTTTCTCTCCCTAAATCATACAAGCATTTCAAAGAAATTATGCTGTATGGTAATAGTAGTGATACCCTTACTTTCGACAATGTTAAGTCAAACCTATTGTCCAAAGAAAAGTTTGACTTTGAAATTAAGTCTGAGGACAAAGGTGAAGGCTTGGCCGTAAGGGGTCGTTCACTTGAATCAGGGAGTAGCAATAAAAATTCTAGATCCAAGTCCAAAGGACGTAAGTCCAACAAATCCTGTAAGTACTGCAAGAAGCAGGGTCACGATGTGACTGAATGCTTCAAGCTGAAGAACAAACAAGAGAGAGAAAAGTCCGCTGAAGCTAGTGTTGTTGAAAGTGATTCAGAAGGCGATGTTTTGTTATCTGTTAGCTCCGGTTGCAAACGGAGTGAAACCGAGTGGATTCTGGACTCTGGTTGTACATTCCACATGTGTCCTCACAAAGAGTGGTTCGTCTCTCTGGAACCGGTTGATGGTGGAGTTGTCTTGCTGGGTAATGATACCCAATGCAAGATTAGTGGAATTGGAAGTGTGCAGATTAAAACTCATGATAACGTTATTAGGACTCTTACCAATGTTCGGTATATTCCTGATTTGAAACGCAATCTGATATCGTTGGGCACCTTAGAATCTCTGGGGTGCAAGTACACAGCTGAAGGTGGAGCTCTAAAGGTCATCAAAGGCTCTATTATTCTCATGAAAGCTTCTCGTTCTGGAAGCTTGTACGTCTTTCATGGCAGTACTGTGACAGGTTCAGTAGCGGTATCCTCATCGATGTCTGATGCGGATCTCACTCAATTATGGCATATGCGTCTGGGGCATATGAGTGAGAAAGGCATGCATCTCCTGAGCAAGAAAGGCCTCCTTGGTGGTTCAGGTAAGGGTAAATTACAATTTTGTGAGCATTGTGTTTTTGGGAAACAAAAGATGGTTAGTTTCTCTACTGCTACACACAGTACCAAAGATGTATTGGAATACATATATTCTGATTTATGGGGACCAACTAAATTCCAGTCTATGGGAGGCTGTAGATATTTCATGTCTATTATTGATGACTTTTCTCGTAAGGTTTGAGTCTATTTCCTGAAACATAAAAATCAGGCATTTTCTATTTTCAAAAAGTGGAAAATACTCGTTGAGACTCAGACAGGTAAAAAAGTCAAGAAGCTCAGGATAGACAATGGCTTGGAGTTCTGTGAGTCAGATTTCAATGGCTTCTGTGCGGCAAATGGAATCGCCAGACACAAGACCTTGCCTGGTAAATCCCAACAGAATGGTGTTGCCGAACGTTTGAACAGGACTCTATTGGAAAGAGCTCGTTGTATGCTCTCTAATGCTGGGTTATGGAAACGGCGTGATTTTTGGGCCGAGGCCGTTTCTACTGCTTGCTATTTGGTAAATAGATCTCCACATTCATCTCTTGATTTCAAAATTCCAGAAGAAGTTTGGTCAGGTAATCCTGTTGACTACTCTGTCTTAAGAGTTTTTGGATGTCCTGCTTATGCTCATTCCAGTACGGGTAAATTAAACCCG